AGCGTATGGAGAGCCACATGTTTCTCATTTCAGTTCTGTTGCATAAGTAGATCAGGCTTAACTGTCCAAGCTCACTTTTAAGGGGTCTTCTCTTGCTATTCATGTTTAATTGTAATGTTTGCCTTAGAGAAATGTCACCAGCTTTGAACCAGGTATCACCCAATGCAAGCTCATATTCCTAACAGGGCACAAGGAGAGAGCAACACAAATTTTGTTTTTGGAATGTTACAGCTCTAGAAGAACCAGAGAGGTAAAGGATCTACTGTAAATCTACTGAGAAATTATTTTCTCAACAGAATAGAATTTGAAATAAACTTCATGGTAGGAGCCAAAAGAATTGTGGAATGAGCTAGGCTGCTCATAGGTGGCTTTACCTTTTTTTGGTGCCAGAGCTAATCATTTTTTTAAATCCAACTGGAATCCAAGTTCATGTTTCCCAGAACACTTATTTGTGGAATAACTTAATTGTTGAATTCTAACTCCTCTACCCAAGGCAGCTTACAATATGAAGTATTATTTTATTACTTATTTAATCTCTATGTGGCCCAATAGCCGGAGCTATATAATACATAAAGTAATATTTTCTAAGTAGTAGATTTGGTTTGAAAGCTTACCAGAGTCAATACAATTGTACTCTTTTCTGCCCCAGGCTGAACTCTGAAAAAAGAAGTTATACAAGTTTGTGGTACAGTTCAGTTTGAATCAGGGAAAAGGCAAGGATTGGGTGAAGAGTAACAGCTGGCTAGAGCTGAATGCACATCAACTCAGTTATTCTCCAAGTCCCAAGAGGAGTTCTGAATTTTTCACTTAAAAAAAAAAAGCTGAAGGCAAATACATGCGTCATTTAAAACAGGTGGACATCTGACAAGGTGCAAAACTGATGGCTGATGCACTGTTCAATTTGCAGCAATCTACCTCTGTAATGAAATTTGTGAGATGGGGGTTATATTCTTCTACTCTGGTTGAGGCAGCCACAATAGCCCATGTTAAGGATTTATCTGTCCTACATCAACATTGCTTTGCTGGCCCAGATTGAATTCAGTCTAATTCAGCATCTTTTGCACAATTAAGTGGCCTTCTGGAAGTTGGGCAGTAGCCCACCAGTGGGACACTAACATGCTCTCCCGTATAAAACTACATGAACAAGAGCAACAGTCTTAATCCTCTTTGGTCCTTTTACTCCACAGAATTTACCATGTATATCCATTTTTTCTTTTTCCATCTTTCCCCTCCATTCTCTTTAAAAGATATAAAAGAAAAATTATAGTATTACCTCTTGTTCACTGTACCTTGGATCAGTTTGCCAGTGATCTAGGTGACAATGCATTGGGAAAGGAACACAATCCCACCCCTTCTTTATGGTGGAAAGAATTAATCACTTATCACTGCATGAATGGGGCGGGGGGGAATTACAATCCACAACTCCTAGTTCTTTCGAACTGTTCCAGTGACACTCACTCACTTTGAGGAAAACAGGTGACCTCTGCATCTGAGGAATAAAGGGGCCACTTTCACAACAGGGCTACCATCTCTAAACAGGAGAAGCAGGAGTGTGACCAAAACAAGCAGGAGGAAGATGACAACCCTTAATTCTAGATGCTATTTGTGGCTTTCTGGAGGCAACACTGTTGACACACTGTAATAGGCAGCCCATATTCTGCTTTTCCTGTTCTACTTGCTCTTTCAAGAGAGGGCTGATGTGCCATTGTAGAGTGTCATTCTAATGAGATGCAGGGCGAGACTACCAGGCAAGACTAGAGAAGTGTCAGAATAATGACTCTGGGGAAGTTTCACTCCACACTATAGTCCATCTCTGTGATTTTGAGTTTTAAGGATCATCCCTTCTCATAAAACAGGAGAATATTCTTAGCTGTCCCTGTTTTATAGGGGAAATTCTCCTGCACAAACATTCACTTCAGCAGTACTTGCACTGGAGGGATGTGTTCTAAGACCTCTTTGTATGATTTGTAGCCTTATAGTTCCCCCTTCAAAGAGAAAGAACACCTGCTTACACCAAAATTGAGTAAAGTCAGTGGGATGTTTAAAGAAACAAATATTCTGGTTACTTGCTTGCACTAAAATAGTTTTAGGGTTTGCATGAATCTGACTTGGTTCAGAACTCTCCCACTCCTCTGTTCATGATTCTCAGGTGAAGATTTCCATAGTTTCTCAGGAAGGACATATCTATACTAGAAACTCATTTTGTTGTTTTCTCTCGCTCACTTAGTCACCTGGGGAGAGTGAGGAAGAGAATGGAGAAAGAGGAACTAAGGAAAGTGGAAAAGCATTTTCAGTGCTCATAACACATTAGGCAGTATCTAAGATTTTTAGGCATAACCTACAAGTGAACTGTTACGAAACCAGTACAGGATTTCTTGTGCAACTGTAAATTCTTAGTATTATTGGGCTAGGCATTGATTTAGGGGCTTGCAGTTCTTGAGTTAATTAATGGCATGAAGCAATACAATCATGTTACAATTCATTTTCTATTTCTGTAAAAAAAAGTTTAATTATAAAATAAATAGGCCATGTTGAGATCTATGAACATACTAAATACATGAATGCAGTATTTACAATAATAGAAAACATTTGTAGTTACATATTTATATCAAAACAGCATAAGAAAAGTGTTGTTTTAAGTTCTGCTTTTCTTTCAGAAGCCGTCATAAACATATGCTATTGCAACTAACATCACAACCCTAGGTATATTTATTAAAAAGTAAATTCAATTTTATTCACTGGAGCTTACAGGGAAACATATATAGGGTTGTAACACATGTTAAATAAAATATTTTTTCATAATTATTCTACCAGTAAATGAAAAATTGCCCTTGTATGATCCTATGCAGTTTTTCCCATACTTGGGCATCTTCTGCCAAACACATATGCTCGGATAACCTCCGCTCATCATAACAGGGATTGAGAAGGAACACTTCTTAGTGGTTTGGCACAAATATATTTTTTTCTTTATGCGATTAGAGTAGGCTCAAGAGACCAGGGAAGAAATAGCGAGACACTATATTTGGAAAAACGGTGCCACTTACAATAGCTTTCTAGACTACTTGACTCACCAAATGCCAATTTAGAGTTCATGGTCTAACCCACTTAATCCAGAGTAATCTCTGGTTTGAGGAGGTTTTCAGTGGATGAAAACCACTGAATTATTTAATACAATAATTTCACATTTTAGGATTGTTTAGAAGTGTGAGCAGCCCATTGGATTTTGTATGTCAAAGGCAACAACTATTCTAGTATTGATATACTGCTGATGAGGACTAGATTAATCCAAAACAACACAAAACCACCAACAAGCTACTTTTGTGTGTGTGTGACCAGATAAGTTTTGCCATGAAGTGAAGTCTTTGAACTCTTGTACCTCCCAGCACAAACATTTTGACTACAGTAGCTGTGACTCTGGAAACTGCTCCAATTGTTCATACACCATAAAGTAAAAAGTAGTCTGAGGAGAACAGTGGTATTTCTGGTCTGCCACTTTTTGATACAGTAAGCGGAGATCCTCAATATTATAGAAGTGGAGGTGTGGGAGAAGAGAGGCATGCCCTGTGTCATTTGTCCCAGTTGAAGTCATACCATTCTTTAAGCTTCATGAGAGACTTTTTCAAAGCTTGCTTCATTTTTCTTTTCCCTTTCAACTTCATGAGGTTGCATGGAAGTCAGTACAGAATTTCTCTGTACTATCATGAGAATTCCAAAATTCATATTCTCTCTCTCCTTCTTCCTCTCCCCTCACATACTTCTCTCAGTCAATAATTCTGATGACGGAGAAGACATGCAACAGGGAAGTCCGCAAGGCAGCAACCATTGTCAGTCTTCCAGTACCAAAAAGGGTGGGCTAGTGCTTGTAAAAATGGCGGATTTTGATTTCTCCAAATGTGGCAGCATGTTCTATGTTCCACAGCTGCTTCCAAGAGATAAGAGGGAGTGCAAAATCACTCCTTGCAGCATCTTCCATGTTGAAGGCAGATAAGGTCTCATTTTCAACACATTCTTCCAGGATCTTGATTTGACCTTTACAGATGCATCTCCATGGAATAGCATGTGCTTCAGCAAAGCTTCTTTACTTTCTGGAAGAGGCAAACACTGTGCAATGGTTTGGACACTGAATTTTTCAAAAAATCATACTGAGAATTGATAGAATCTTCTGGAGAGCTAAAAGCAGAAAATATCAATATATATCCATTTATACTGAAATTCTCTTTTAGCTGATATTTGGAGAGGGCAGCAGCTCAGTGCCCAAGCAATGATTTTCATGCAAAAAGTTCCAGGCTCACTCTCTGGCAATCTCCCCCCCCCCCCCCCCAGTATTTCAGACAGCAGAACCATAAAAAGCCTTTGCCTAAAATCTAGAAGAAACACTACCAACCAGAATAGAGAGTTCCTTGATTGGTCCAACTAAATATACAGTTGCTTCATGCAATATGCAGCATTAAATATTGAACTTGCAATCACAGGCATGGCTCTGATAGCCTGCTTCTCTTTCTCTCCACACTCTTTTACAGTAAAGAGTAAATTCTCCACACTCTCCATTATGCTTCAGAGCAAAACTATGCATGTCTATTCAGAAGTAAGTGGGGCTTCCTCCCAGATAAGAAGGCATATAGGATTGCAGCCTTAAATTGAGAACTACCTCTGGAATAGCTTAGTGATGCTGATTAGCTGCATTGGCCATTGTAGGTACAGTCTCTTTATGTGTGTTGTGTGTGTGTGTGTACGAGAGAAAGAGAGAGAGTGAGCACACACACACAACCACATGCGCACACATAAGAAGTCCTCCTGTGAGGACACATCAAGCTTTTCCTCTGCTGTATGATATAGGACATAGCTGCTATAAAGACATAATTATCTGCAATCGATTTTGTATCCAGGAACCTGGGTATACTCAGTACAAGGAGGGATGTTCTCCAGTGATTTAGTTCTACTAAATACAGAAGGAAGTATATTATGAAACTGTCTAAGGAAAAGCCTACCTTCACTTCTCTTTAAACACCATTACTGGAACTTGCATTGTCTTGTTGGAGCTTTTTCCTTTCCTCTTTTTCATCATACTTGGGACATTTTTTTCTTACCCTGTGTAATAAAAACATTGGACCCAATTATATACAACCTCAAAGTGGAACTGCTCTCCACCAAGCATATGTACAAAACAGAAAAAGTTCACTTTAAACTGACTGCTAAAAGACAGGTATCCATGCCAAAGCTTCTATGGCTAACATTTGTGGACAGGAACACAATCCAGTAGGAAACTCTCCTGTGCAAACTCCATTGAAACCATAGAATAATAGAGTTGAAGGGAGCCTACAAGGCCATCAACTCCCTGCCCAGTGCAGGGCACCATGTTAAACCATCCCTCTCAGATGGCTGTACAATTGCATCTTGAATGCCTCCAGTGTGGAAGAGCTGACAACCTCTCTAGGTAATTGATTCTCTTGTCATACCACTCTAACAGTCAGGAATTGTTCAGCTGGATCTGGCTTCCTGTAACTTGAGCCCATTATTCCATGTTTTGCACTCTGGGATGATTGAGAAGAGATCCTGGCCTTCCTCTGAGTGACAAGCTTTACTTGAAGAATGCTATCATAATTTCCTCAGTCTTCTCTTCTCAATGCTAAGCATGTCCAGTTCTTTCGATCTCTCCTCACGGGGCTTTGTTTCCAGTCCCTAGATCATCCTTGTTGCCCTCCTCTGAACATTTTTCAATTGTCTACAATTAATTAATGGAAGCTGTGTAAAAACTCAGTAGAACTCTTTTGTTGCTTTTTTATTTCAATGGATCAGGCACAGGAGAACACCCTGCTAGGTTGTTTTTTCATAGATTCATAGAATAGTAGGGTTGGAAGCGGCCAAGAAGGACAGTGGGTCCAACCCAGTACTGCTGTGGAACACCAAGTCATATCAGTCCATTGAGATGACTGCCCAGTTTTGCCTTGACTATCTCTAGTGTGGGAGAGCCCACAACCCCTCTTGGCAACTGGTTCCACTCTCCTATTGCTTTGACAGTTAGACATTTTTTCCTGGTGTCTAGCCTGAATCTGGTGTGCCAAGTTCCATGGCAGTACAAAACAGCTAGGGTCTTATACTACCAATGCCTTATTCTTGCAGTTCCAAAGACTTGTTACTAGTACATGGCCAACAATTTCTTTTTATAGAGCTTTTAATGTTTCTATAAAAAGCATGCATAGATTCCACATATAGATACAGTTTTTAAAACTCATCTATTCCAACACATTTCAGAAAGTCTATGTCTTGCCCAAGTGAGCTAAAGTAAGATGTATTGGGATATATGCTTGTTAAATCTGTCAGTTGATTTTTACATTTGGACTAAATTAAGCAAAGCAGAGATAATAATTTTAAACTGAGTTTCAAGAAAAAGATTCAATAAGAATTTTGCTTAATTTTGATGTTAATGTGCCAAAAGGGCAGGCTTTAAAAATAACATTTTATAGTGCTTTTGAATTTTTCAGTGTGATTTATATAATTGTTTAAATTGTTTTAATGTTTATATAATTGTTTAAATGATCAATTTTGTTCTGGACAATTGCTTTGTCCACAAATACCTTACCGGCAGAATCCAACAGGGCTTTATGCCCTCACCACAATACCGTTCTACAAACAACTGGACCTACTGATTCTGTTTCACAAGTAGGATCTACTGCTTATGCAAGAGAGATCTAGTGCTTCCTGAGGGAAGGCCTGAAAGAAGCAGGAAAGGTATGTTTCTGGAAGAAGGCAGGTTGGGAAGGCCCTCCTACAACCTTGCCTTGGGTTGTCCAAGAAGCACTGAATCACTGCTGTGAAAGGGGGAGGGGGGGGGGCTTTTGCTATAGAACTGGGAAGGCCTAAAAAAAAAGAAAAGAAAACTGGCAGGGGATTAACTGTCCCACTGGATTCTGTCCACAGTATCTTTAGTATAAGAGTTCCTTGATTTATAAAACGTGGGTTGATCCTAGTAGTTCTGACCCTTCTTTTCATGTATATATTTCAGAGTTCTGCCACTAATTGCTGAAACTCTCTGGGTGGTTTACAAAGAATATACATAAGCTATTGTCTACTGGACAGTCCTGTGAGATGTGCTATTAGAGTTTTCCTTGTTGCAGATTGGGAGACGTACATGACATGTTTGTTCCCAGTAACATTTCTCAAGGTTCTTATGATGCAATTATCAGCATCTTCTTGCAACACTCTAGTACCTACTTTCTCTTGGCTAATTTTAATAAAGTTGCCTCTCCCTGAAGAAAGGGGAGCTATGAGACTGCAGTCCTGTCCTATACAACTTGGTGGCTGACACCATGTAAGGTGATCTACATAGAAAGCCTGTACCATCTGAGTCAATGAGAAGAATTGGGGGCCTACTGAGCCCCTGGTGGGCTTTTCATGCATGTCTGTACCATAGGTAGCTACAGATCATTCTTTGTCCATTTCCCTCTGCTGGCAGAGTTTCCTCAACTATCAGAGGAGCTGAAATTGCATTACTTACTGCACTATGACAATGATTACAATGACGATGAAGCTGAGAACTGAGAGTCCAACAGCTGCTTTCACGAGTACTGTGGTTGAATGCACCATGAGCACTGTAGTTGAGTGACCTGCTGCATCATTGCTTCTCTGTGTCTTCAAGAACTGTTCAATGCAACGTTCACCAAAGTAATCTTGATGGCATCTGAAAATTAACCATACCAATCATTAACTACATGGTATTTGTGTACTCTACAATTCTACAGAAAGCAAGTCAATCAAATGTGGAACTACACTGAGGAGCTACAATATTCATTGTAAGATGCTTGACGTACTTTACTACCTTCCTGTGCTAGGATAAGATTTGTCAGCAGTGCAGTAAGTTACGATTAGTTAGGATGGTATGTTCCAGGGAAAGCACAAGTCATTCCATCTTTCAACTTATCATCATATTATGAGTTCAAGAACCCTGTGCAGTTTATGTATTCCACAACCATTTAGACTCACATAGCAAAATGTTGTGCAAATGGCACAATAAATTAAGTAGGAATACTAACATATTTGAAAGAAAAACATCAGTATCCATGTAGTCAGAAAGTGAAGCCCACATACATCTGTGTGTCCTTACCATTATAAAATTGTCCCACCACGGGCACATACCTCTTTCTGGTTCTCAGGGCCTTTCATCCAACAGCCTTTTCCTGAATGGTTAAGAGTCTTGCAAAACTCACAGCAATTCAACCAAGGGCTTGGGTGGTGTGGGAGGCTCATCTCGGTAAGTGAAACCAAAGACCAGGCTGTGGTCCATATCAGAGCAGCTCAATGTCTAAGACAGGCTAACTGTCAGGGCGTATTTATTTCCATTTCAGCCTCTCCTCATATTTTCAGGACCCGTTTTTTTTGGCAAATCAGCTATACATCACCACATCTCTATATGCTGTTTCATCAACCCATTATTAGTTCTCTGATTAAAGTACTGCTTTGAAATGCCATCTACACAGATACTCCAGATTCAGAACTAGGATATAGACTGTCAACACACAAAACTTTTGTAGGTTAGCTTACTTGCATGTGGGTGCTTGGATATCTTTGATATATTTGCATTCACCATGAACACAGAAGTTTTTAAACTTTCCTTCACATGGAGATTTTTTCTTTCTATTTTTCTTCTCATTATTTCCCCTTATTTTTGGTTTATTAGGGCTCTTTTTGCCACTCACAAATTTTGCTGGTTTCTTTATTTCACCTAGAGAGAAAAAGTATTTATTTGAATTACTTATATGAGTAATCTGCTCTGCCTCCATATAGCTGAGGGTAGCTGTATTTGGGCCTTTCATCAGTCCTTGGCCAATGCCAGTGACCTGGCATTCAAACTCAATTTCCATTTCCACCATTCGCTTTACATCAGGATTCCACTACACTATCTACATCAGTCACCTGTTTCCCATTGAAATATAATTACGCAGCATGATAGAGGTTGTGCCTACAATGATGGGTTTTTAGCAGCAAGCAGAGGTGAGAGCATGTGTTGAATCCCTACTTCTTGCCCACTCCCAGCACACTAAATGACTCAATGATGTTCCTTTTCTGGCATGGTCCCACAACTCTAGACCCATCACTGCACACTTATAGAAAGACCCTGAAAACCTGCTTCTATACTCTGGCTGTTCCCTTATTATGTTTGTTTGGATTGAGTTGTAGCTGCAATTGCATGTGGTGGAATTTGTTTTTATGCAAAAAATGTTTGGGGGGTGTTTGCTACTGTTATTTTTATGGTTCTTATGGTATTGGCTTTTATTATGTAAGTTTTATTGTTGTCTATCATCCTTGGGAAGCAGCCAAGAAATATAATAAATCAATAAATAGTCCTGTATCATATCCAAAGCCATCATGTTGAGAGACAAACTACCCAGAGTTATAACTCAAGAACAACCCATGGAATGTTCTTGAGTTATAACTCCAGGTTGTTCCCACCCCCCGTACCCTCGCAGAGTTCTGCCTTGGGACATAATGGAGTTGTTACTGGGTTGTTCAGCACACCCAGAACTGGATGTGCAGTCAGGAGCCAGCACATATATCCAAATAACTTATGGTTAAAGAACTACAGAAAGTTTCATTTTGTAAACCAGAGCAATCTGTGAAGATAACAATACAGTGTGATTTACATTGTGGATGTCCATGAAATTATTCTGAAATTGAAGATATTTTAGATACTTTAAGAGCAACATGGTGTAACACCAAAGAGAGAGACAAAGAAAGAAAGAAAGAGAGAGAATGAATCAGATGGTCAGATGAGATAAAACTGTACCTGCCACATCTTAAATGGAAAACAAAGCCCACAACCGCCAACAAGGCCAGGAAACATTTTTAAAAATACTATGATTACCAGTTGCAAAAAGAAGTCCTGCAACTACTAGCATGGCTGGGGAATGCTCAGAGTTGTAGGACTTTGGCTAACCATGCACAGGGTTGCATCTTAACTCAATGACCTACTAGCACAGACAGCAAGGGTCTAGTTTGTACCATCAGAATTAAATGAGGTGGGAAGGTGTCTGGCATAAATACTAATAATGATCAGTTCACAGATGAGCCTGAACAAACAAAAAGGTTTGTGTTTTGATACAATTCATTTATATTTCCTTTATATAGGCAGAATGAATACCAGGAAAGAAGCTGATAAATGATTGAAACATATTGTTTAAATAGTTTTATGTTAGTATGTCACATTAGAACGATTTTAACAAGTTAGTGTGCAAATTATTTTAATGTAGGTTACAAAGCTGATTTCCATTCCTAAATGCAATACAGTCAACATTAGTATTGTTTACTAATTTATCTTAATTATCATAATTTATTGCTCAGCATCAAAGGCAAATTAGCTAGTGTTGACTAATGTTATTTAGCAATTCTAATGACATGTGATAATATAGTTAATCCCAATTGTTTTTTATTTTCAAAGGAGTTTAATAGGAAAGAGCAGGAAATAGTAAAATTTTGTAGAGGTTTCAGAAGAATCTTCCCATTTTAAAATGCTGATCTATAGGATTAAACTGTAGCATCCCAACAAATTTGTCCCATTTCTAATCGCCATAAGTAAAAATGAGATATTCTCAAATAGTTTTCCCCCAAACATGATGTGTGCTCACACACAGTTTCAGAGTTTAATGCAAAGTTTCACAGTTTCATGCACACCTTAATTCTTTTCTAGCTTTCTAGAAGAGAACCCAAAACAAGATAAACTGTTGAAATCAAAACAAAATGGTTTCATATGCAAAGGGCGGAGAAATGTTGCTTATTATTATAATAAAATTATCATTATTATAAATGTTGTATTTTTATGTACTGGTTTAGTATACTGTAAACCTCCCAGAGAACCCTCAGGTTATGGAGTGGCATAGATGTAAAATGAAATAAATAAGTATTACATTATGATTTTCTAAATGAAACTGTTGAAATGCAAGTCCTCAGCAGGTAGTTTGTTATCCCATCTTGGATGCTTCTGTAGCTAAAAATGTAGATGGCACCATAAGCACTATACAAGTTGACCTTGAGTTTAGGACAATCTTGGTTTCAGTAAAATCAGGGAACGTGCACTCATTCTGGTTCTCTGGATATGCCTGCATAATATATGTGCTTTTCAAGCTTATTTAGCTCATTCCTATGGGGCAATTTAGAGGTAAACCTAAAATATAATCTAATCTTATACTATCTTATCTTGGACCATTCCTCACCCTGACCCTCACCTCATAGGACAGTTGTGAAGATAAATATGTTAAGAACTATTTGCATCACCTTGAGCTTCTTAGGGGCTGGGATAAAAATATAACTAACAGCTACAACAGCCTTCCCCCAACTTGATATCCCCCTAATAGTTTGGACTAGAATTTCTGGCCTTGCTTAGTGAGGCTGATAGGAGCTGAAGTTCAAAACACCTGAATGGCACCAGGTTGGGGAAGGCTAGGTTTCCACTGAATGGCCATGCTTCTTGCAACAATAAGCCAAAATTCATTGGCTTGAAGCTAGACTTACTGTTCACAAACTGCACACTGGTGCATCCAGCCTTTACACTCCTGATTGTTCTTCACACCACCAGCACTGGCTAAACTAACCAGAAAAGGAACACTAACTGAGGCAGGGATCCTTGTTTATTAGGCCTCTTCAGTTTATAGTTCATGACTTCTTTGGGAGTGACAAGCTGGAAATACCAGTTCAGAAGACATGGAAACTTTTCTTTCCTGGTTAGCATAGCCTAAGTTTCCCAGTATGCCCCAGCACTGTAGGCCTTTTTCCTATCTAGTCAAATCCAGCCTTTTCTGACAATGGATAGGTTAGTTTGAACATTACTGTGCTACACCAGCAACTAATAACATTCAGATCACTCCTGATAGCAAAAATATCTCAATTGATTTATGCAGCAAAATTAACAGAAATACAGAATTTCCAGTATGCATAATGATACAGACAGCTTCAGAAATGCACACTCATAAGCAGTTTAATTCAAGTTAAACTGATACTGGATAGTATGAAGAATTGACAGATTTAGAAATCAAATCATAAGCTTACAATGAATAATGCAGATCAGTTAAAATCTTTCTTATTGCCTTCTTGGAGAAACAAAGTTGCCACCCTTGATACAAAAGTCATATCCTTACAACAGGATCATCTCCACTTGACTGACAGTCAAAACTCAAAGCACTCTTTAGAGGCAAATACTCATCCTGAACTTACCTCTACCCGAATCACCCACAAAGAACTGAGGTGCAATAACCTCCTTTACATTTTCCTCTTCAGCCTCTTCATAATCAGCTCCTGATGAAAACATCTCGGTTGCAGTAGGTGTATCAAGAGTCCTCAAGATGGGCAAGCTTGGCTCATGTTCTGTCACATTTAGCTCCGATGCAGTGACATGCTGGCACACTACAGAAGATAAGTGAAACAGGTCAGGATGACATTCTTACTAGTCACCCAAAACTAGCAAAGAGGTGTTTACCTAAATTACATTAGGCAGCTACTGCATACATACTCTTATTCAGCAGTGAGTCACTCAAGAAGCAAATTCAAGAATGTGAATACATTTATACCACCCTACTACTTTAAAAATGTCTCCCACATTCTGGCTTACTGTGTTCCATCAGCCAGAATTCCAGGAAGTGTGCTGCTTAAAAAATGGATTCCACACACCTTTGACTGACTGAGATCTAACTCCTATGTACACTTACTTGTGGATAAATCTCACTTTCACAACAAAATAACTTCTGAGAGTGTGCAAATACCACTAAACATAACTATGACTGCATTTTGCTATCGGCTTTCCTCATCACCTCAGGGATGACATGTTGGAGATGATGCAGCATTACTGTCCTAAGATAAATATTCCCACCAATCACACCAAGACAGACTAACCATTCCTGAACACAGAACCAAGTCCACTATTTATAATCCATTTTACACTGGACACAATGAATTTAGACCAAATTTCCTGGCATAAGCAAATATTACTGGAGAGGTTTCTTGTCTGATCCAATGTATGCATCTAATGTAAGCAACTCCCCCCACCTTCTCCTAAAATCATAAGTAGTGGGCCCCAGTGTGCACTAGCAAACTGAATAAGTGCTCTATGAAGACTATAAGCAACAACATTATTTAATTCAAACTTGCCTCAGTCCTAAATTCAGCAGATAGCCAGAAGGCAAGGCAGTATTCTCACAATCCCTGTCCCAACTATAATATGGAAAAATAGCGCCCATCTCCTTTGCAGAGTTATAGCAAATATTTGAAAGACGACATGAAGCACCCTCAGCAAGCTGCAGCACATGGCACTGACTCAAAATGGTGAGTGCTGGGTGCAGGTTCTCTGCTTGGCCATGAGGGCCAGTCACCCTCTCTGCCTAACAAGGTTGCTGAAACGAATGGAGAGAAGGGATGAACACACCTGGGGGAAGGGTGAGTTTCGTGGAAAGGGCATGTGCATAGGAAGGCAATGGGCCAGGCAGACCGACAGGCCTCCTTTCTCGTAAAGAAGTTTTGATAGTCGCAACGGCGTGGATTGTGATGTGAAATAAAGAACATACATCTCTCTCAATCACATGGGCTGACAAGAATACATGAAAAGCGTAGGCAAAAAGATGGGAGGGGCGAGAGAGCACCCTCCGCTTCTTTCAGGTGCTTCCTATTTCAGAATGAGGGGGTGATTTCCGTCCAACTTTCCACAATCAGGGGCCCGTCGGGCGCGCCATAAGAAGGGCGAGTATGTCGAGAACTCCCTTCCCAATTGGAGAAGCGCATCTCGCCAAAGTCCAGCGCGAGCGTCTTGAGCGCCTCTCCCCACCGCCCCCTCCTGTCCATCACCTTCGTGGGGGTCCGGGCGCCTGCCGGCCCACCCTTGGCGCGCCAGCACTTTCACGCACCTGAGCCCCAGAGCGGCAGCGGCGGTGGCGGCAGCAGCAGCAGCAGCAGCAGCGAAAGCGTGGCACGCATGGAGCGGGAGGGAGCGCCGTCCGGGCGGGTGTCCTTCAGGAGAGCGGCTCGGAGGGCAGCTTGCAGCGCCTGGGAGAGCGCAGAGCCCAGCCTGACGACAGTGCTCCAGTCCCATGGAGAGATATTTATGTGCGGCGGCGCCGCCACTGGGAGGCCGGCCGGCTGGCTGCTTGGTTAAACGTCAGCTGGGTGGGGAAGGGAGAGGTGCGCCGCGGAACGGACACCCCACCCAGTTGCATGTGGTGCAGAGACCTAGCAGGTCGCAGATGCGTGGAGGCCGCGGAGAGGCAGGCAGGCAGGCAGGCAGGCCGGCCGCCTGGTGATGCAGTGTCGAGTCAGTAGTAACTTTCTTTGCCTTGCCTTGCCTTGCCTTGCCTTGCCTTGCCTTGCCCACAACTTACGCGCTCAGGTGCCACAACGCCTCCTGTAGCAGGAGAAGGAGCGGTGCTAGATTCAGCCAAGGTGGGTCCATTCTGACCTGCCCAGTGATGACCCTGGGAATTCCTCCCTGCTCAGACGAGAAGGCCTCAATATCTGGTGTTAAGGAGAGCACAGGGAAAGCTTCATCTTTTGCTTCTGGCTGTCAGCCATTGGTAGAGCTAAACTCTGGAATCTGGCCAGTCCTGCTGTTCATCCAACCTCTGCTTAAGTATCTCCAATGGAAAAAAGCCCACCATCTGCAGAAGTAGTCTCTTCTGTCAAAAAGCTTGCACCATTAGCAAGTCTTTCCCTAAGTTATCTGGAACTGTTGTTTCCCAACAGTTTTGAGTCATTGTTCTAGTATTGTCCTCTGGACTGCTGTCATGTTTCACCTTTCCAGCTCTTTTGATCATTCCTCAAAGGACTTTATTTTCAGATGCATCACTTCTTGGTTGCTTTCCTGTACACCCACTCTAGTTTGATGCCCATCTTAAAATGTGGCACCCAGGAACAGATAAAACATTCCGGATATGTCCTGGTCAGCACAGGATAGAGTGGAATTGCTCACTTTTGTGATCTGAACAGGATGTTTGCCTAAACACAGTTTTTTTAGTAGTTGCATTATAGTCCTGGTTCATGGTCGCTGTTCACATTGAAATCAACTAAAACACTTAGATCCTTTTCACATTAACTGCTACCAAGCAAGGGCTCTCCCATCCTGCATAGTGCCTTTTGATTCTTTGTTCTCATTTTTGGTTGGGGGTTTTTTTTTTTTTGGTACCTAAATCTGGGACTTTATATTAATTAGTGTTGGATCTCATCTTGGTTTTGTCTCAGTAATCCAGCCTGACAAGGTCATTTTTAATCTAGAGTCTGTCTTCTGTGTTGTTTAGCAGCCCCACAAAGCATTTTGTCATTTGCAGATTTGATAAGGGTCCCTATTAAGCACTTCTCCAAGTCATATGTTAAAAATATTGAACAACACAGGGGAGCAAGAGCCGTATAACATTCCATTTAAACTTCTCTCCTGGTTGATGCAACCAGTTGGGTCTGGTTGTTCAACCAACCTTGGATCCAGCTAACATTGATATCAGCCAATATTCTGTTCTTAACAATTAAACCTTGTCAAATGTGTTGCTGAAATCAAGTGCACTGTGTCCTCAGTATTCCTATGATTTTACCAAGCTAGGGATTCTATATAAAAGAGATAGGGGAGGGAGTTATATTTGAGCTGGCATTAATTATTAGGCTGGGAAAGATCCTGCACTGAAATCCTGTGGAACTACTGCCAGACAGTGTAGACTGGGATTTCCAACATGTGGACATATCTGGGAATTTGAGAAACTGCTGTGAGCACCATCAGAAAATACCTGATCAGTGGTTCATCATTTTGGCATTTACCCGTTGTGTCGATGGGACTTAGGCTGCATCTTATTCAGCAAAAGCTTTTGTTTTGTTTCTATTGGACACCTCAACACCTCTTTAATGAGGGATTGTCTAATTCAGCTAATTGCTAGCTGTGTAATACAGCTATGCTTCTTTTAAATGTATGTTTTGGCAATGTTCAGTAGTTGCTTCATTTGGAGAGGAGGTTATTACACAGATAAATTTTGTCCTGGGACAGTCTTTAATAGTCACTGATTTACACATTATTTTAAAGTATTTACCTGCTTCAAATCAACAAATTAACAACTTTCTCTACACTACCTTTGGCAGCTGAAAGTCGCATATTACAACACTGGGAGAATAAACACTCACTTTCTCTAATGTGATGGATTGAAGACTTTATGATGCTTTTGATATAGGAATGGATGGCATATAGATGACAAATTCCAATGGATATTTATTTAGATATTGGTCCACTTTTGTTAAATCCTATGCATAATTGATAAAATGCTGTATGCATTTCAGACAGATCCATTTACATACATTAAAAAGGGGGAGATTTTCTAGCTGCCAGCAAACAGTACATTGGGGATTCTCTTGGCTACAGGAAGTGCCCACAGAACCTGCGGCATCCCTGGATGCTGCACTGAGGACTCTTGATGTAAATAGTACTGAGCTAGTTGAAGTAAACATCTGATGATATCAATGTCTACCCCTGTAGCCCCGCTCAGTAGGATATAGGCTCATCTCCCTTCCCCAGTTTCCAGAATGACTCCTCTACATTTGTGGGATTGTGAAATGAGGTGGCGTGGGGTGGGGATTTCAGGCCAGCCCTAGAATGTAGCTATATTTTCAATAATATTTTGAGTTTAGGAAGCAGTGTAATAATCTGCCAAATCAGGAGCTAGTAAAGTAGCTTTATTAGCATGCCACTTTTCAGTCTAGAACTTTTGCATACCCAAATAAAATGGTGTAGCAGCTTTTGTCACTCAGCTAGACAGATATGACAGGGCTTGGAGCTGAATTAGAGTTGTAGGTAGGATCTTCATCCGTTTCATTGTAATACAAGCAAATCATGGTACATTTTTGATAAATTGATAAATTCCCAGGACAAACAGTTGTCACGAGCTTGTTTAGGTTGCTCTCCTGTACACTCTTACTTGGGAATAAGTCACACTGAACTCAGTGGGGCTTACTTCTGAGTAGACAAGTGTAAAATTATGCTGTTAGTAAGTTAGAAGAAATATGAAGTGATTCTAGAGTATAGTTGGGAGGCTCTCCAGACGTTTGGGCCTTCCATGCCTATCGTCCCTCGTAACTGTCTAGGGAGTCCTCCAGTGCTATAGGCTTGTTAATTCAGGGAACCATGCACTGGCTGTAGTTGTCCTTTAGGTAGTTCTCGTGATGGTAGCATGAATGATTTTGGACTTAAAGTTCATGTTATATCTCAAGGTGGCTCCAAAACACTCTAGCATACTTTAGCTTGCATTGAACTATGCTTGGATCGGGAACATAAAGCTGTGTGCATGTTTACTTTATGTTTGGGATTGCCACTATGTAGCCCTTTGATGTCAGAATGATTTCTAAGAGCTATTGTCAAGGGCATGATCACTAGAGCAAACAGAAGGGATGGCGGAGCATCCCTGCCTCATTTCCCTCCAGAGATAGAACAATGGGGGTTGCTGATTATTAACCATTGTTGCAGAGCAGGGGTGGCCAGACTTGCTCAGCGGAAGAGTTACATATGGCAAATGTCAGCTGTCTGCGAGTTACAAGTAGGTGCCTGCGAGCAGTGGTAGCAGGTGGTGAGCAGCAAGTGGGTGCTTGCAGGCAGCAACAGTGTGCAGTGAGCAGCAAGCTGGCACCCGTGGGTGTCCGCAGCAATGAGTGGCAAGCCACAAAATAAAGAGCCGTATGTGGCTTCTCAGCCTTGGCTTGGCCACCCCTGGTGTACAGCATAGAGTAACTTGCTCCTGAGGAAAAAATGGCCAAAAGCCAGCCGTTAGTAATACTGCCACTCCACATGATAAAAGCTCTTCTGTGGCAACTTACTACAGTTAGCTCCAAAATCTAGGCAGTGGAATGAGCTGGGTGCAGTTACAGGCAATGGCAGTCAATCCCTGTATTAGCAGGAAGAATCTTTAAATCTTTGCTGGTTGGAAAGCCTGAGCTTTGGAATGTGGAATCTCTGTCAGTTGTGGAGATCACCTGCAGTTTTACCCTTATCCAGATTTTATTAACCAGTGTCAATTATGGAAGTAAGAGTGCATTTGAGTTTTTAAAATGTAATTTGCCCAGTGCCTGATCTCAGTTTGTTAGTGGACAGTTTGCTTTCTGTTTCTGTGACTAGGCTGCCTGATCTTTTGCAGCAGCTCCCACTCCTTCCTGCAAATCCGTGTCCCACACCTAGCAAGCCTCCAAGTAATGGCTTGATCCAGCAACTGCTAGTAGTCAGCTCTGCTGGCCAGTGATGAGTAGGGCAGGGGAGGCCAGAGAGATGGTGTATGAGAGCTCTCAAGTCATCAGAGGCAGTGGGTTCCTGAGCCATGACTGATTTGGGAAGACCTGTGCAAGAGTAGCGCTCCTGTGAAGCAGAACTTGCAGAGTGAGCTCAGGAGGCCTGCATAGCAGAGGTCCTGAAAGCCAGAGGGGCAGATCTAGGAAGACTTACAGGGCAGAACCAGGAATCTTGAAAGGGACAGTCACCTACTGCCCATGGTGATGCACCAGTTGCAGGCTACTTTTTACTTCAGGCCTCACTCCTTACCCTTGATGGGTTGGAGTTCAAGTGCTGTGGAGGAAGGTAAATATCAATCTCCCCCTGCATTTTATTGCAGAAGTTGAGGCTAGCTGTTTAACAGTATGTGGGGAAGGAACCGATTCATTGTGAAACTAGGCTATTGTTGTCAACAAGCATATCACCGTCCAACCCCCAAAAGGACACCTCCCCACATATAGATGTTTTGTACATGGAATGGTTACACTGAACATCAGAAAACTTACCACAAATCAGATGTTTAAATAAGAAAATGTATGGGAAAGTTGAAGAAAGATGAAGAAAAGGAAGATCAAATATGAGATTGATTGATTGATCCATAAAGGAAGCTACTGACTTGAGTTTACTGGAGCTGAGCAGAGCTGTGAATAACAGAGCACTTTGGAGGGCATTCATTGATAAGGTCGTCATAAGTCAG